TGAGCGGGCGGTGTTCGCTGACGGGCGGGGCGGGGCGGGCGATGCTACGTCGAGAGGTTACAGCGGGGAGTCTACATTACATGCTGCAAGCAAGGTGCAACCGAAGAAGCTCGTTTGGGGCGGCGGAGTCCCCCTCCTCCCTCCCCCTCCCCCCCTCCCTCCCCCTCCCCCTCCCCCTCCCCCTCCCCCTCCTCCTCCTCCTCCTCCTCCTCCTCCTCCTCCTCCTCCTCCTCCTCCTCCTCCTCCTCCTCCTCCTCTGGTGACAAACAAACTTGTGGCGAAGCCCTCGGTTAACAACTGCTGAACCAAAGCTCGCCGCAACTAGGCCCCTGTCAACAAGGCCAAGGCATGTCCTGGGCCGCCCGCCTCTTTTGATTCAAAGGCTCGCGACCAAGAACAAAACCTCATGAAAGGCCCACTGGCCACCGGGCCCAAGCAGACAAATGGAGTTTGGGGTCTGAGCCCTCTCGATGCTGGCACCCCTCGACTCCTCCGCCTCGTCTGGCGAGATGCCGTACAAGCGGGGGTCGCGCATCATGCGTACGTACAAGTACGTGTACCCGAGCCAGTTCACCGCGTCCTCTCGCGGTGAAGTCAGAGGAGAAGCAGCAGACGCTACAGCAGAAGGACGAGGACGAGGAGGCAGGGGAAGAGGAGAACCTGAACCTCCAATGTCCTCGCAAATCATGACGCCTGGAATTTATTAGAGGCCAGATTCAGGAGCCATGACCATTCAAACGTCTCCAGAAAAAGGGTCGAGACCTCCATGGAGCCCACTTCGTTAATACAAAATCTACAAAAAGCGAGTAACGAGGGCGAGGACGGGACTTAAGAAGGTTGGTCTGGTGGTGCCCTCACCGAACCAATAGCCAACCCTGTCTGGCTGGTGGCCATCATCATACCTCCCTTCTGCTCCCCCTCCTCCTCCCTCCCTCGCTGCTCCTCCCCCTCCTCCTCTCATCTCCTCCGTAACCGTTTTGGCTCAAACATCGGCCCGAAACATTCCGTAAGCGTATTGGCTTAACCCGGCATGTCCTTGACGTCGCGCCTTGACCCTCCACGCGGTGCTTGAGGGGCATCGCGGCTGGTCGGCGCCTCTTGCATGAGCGACCTTCGCGGTGCCTAAGCACAGCGAAGAGCCCGGCTGTTCTTCGCCGTGCGCAAAATTGTCTACCAATCGTGGATCCCTTTGGTTTTCACTTCCTTCGCAATCATGTTTGTCAAGGTCTGCCCCAAGCTGCAAGTCGTAGGAAATTCTGCGAACTCCGAGCCAAATCAAACCCTCCTCCCTGCCGCGTGGGCGTACCTTAACGTGATGGCTACGTGGGACTTGGTAACACTCGCATGTGTTTGCTTGGTAGTGGTCAGTCTTGTGAAAGCTCTGGTGATCGGCTATTGCACCGCTCTGCAACTTCCATGTTGGTGGCCATAGTGAGTCTCACATGTTGTTGCTTGATAGTGGTCAGCTTTGGTGAAAGCTCTAGTGATCAGCGTGCTGCCACTCTGCATGTTCGATCACCCTGGTCAAAGTATGAGCAAATATGCGTTCTCAGTCAGTGGTGCAGACATAGGTGGCATGTCGGTCGCTTCGTTCTTCGTGCAATTCCCCTGCTTGGACGCGGACTTCATCCGCTGGCTGTCGCCGCGTACGCCGAATACAAATAGCATGCAAAGGCTCCACTTCATCGCCACCTTCCTCATTTTCCCCGCGTCGCTGGAGAAGCTCTGGGGGGTGGCTCAGTTCTGTAACGTAGCTGGACACTCTCACTCTCACTCTGCTCCTCGCATCCTGCTACCCCCACTGTTAATCCCCCTCCCCATCCCCCTCCTCCTCCTCCTCCTCCTCCTCCTCTGAGAACAAGGGCATGGAGGAGGGAGCGAGGGAGGAGCACGAAGATGATGACACAAATGAGGATGGAGATGTGAGGAACGGAAAAGGGGCGACTGACGAGGGAAGAGGGAGGGAGGAGGAGGGAGGGGGGGGGGCGGGCGTAGGGAGGGGGAGGGATGGGAAGGAATCGGGGGGGGAGACAGTGTCTTCCCTCCTCGCTATTCCCTCCTCCTCCTCCTGCGCCTTCTCCTCCTCCATTCGCTTTTGAAGGAAACACCTGGCCAACGGCTTTCGGCTCGGATCTCACGGGACTGGCCTTGGTTGAAGGAATCCAAGACCCGACCACGAGGCCAGATGTGATGTCGAGCCTTGGGCGGGAGTGTGACAGCAGAGTGGCTGATGATGCAGAGGCACGTAGACAGGCTTGGTAGGAGCTTGCCCACAGTTCAATTGCGACATGTGGTAGGATTTCCCAGGTTTTCCAAATGGCCTCGTCTGAACCTCGCTCCCATCATGGGATGTGAAGAAAACGGCTCCCAGCTCTTGCCGGGCCAGGAGGCACTGGAGACTCCTCTGGAGTAGGGTCCCATTTGGTTTAGGCCCTCTAGGGTTGACGAAACTCACCTTCTCTCTTGGCCCGTCGCCCAGTCCTTATCTCAGATTTCGGCGGAGACTGTCAGGAGGGCACTTGACTGCTTCGCGAATAGCACGGCCCCAGGCTGAGATGTTTGTTTTAATCGCGTCTGACCAATCAAGTGCCGCCCGGGTTTCTCCAGCGTTTTGCAGACATGCTTGATGCGCGGGAGCTGGACCCACAATTTTCTAGCCTCTGGCTTGTCCTTACCGCTTTGTTGACAAACGTACGGGGAGAGTCCACCCGATTGGGCACTTCCCCGTTTGGCCCTGAGTTTGATAGAATATTCGGTACCGGGAATGCGCAGGTTGGGATACATAGGTTAGTTCAAATTGTTCTGTAGCCAGGGCCGCTCAACGTCGTGCGACCAAAGCGCGTGGCTCCGCAATGCCCTGTCTCACTTCGAGTGCCTGTCGCATCTGGAGTCGGGGACGGCCTTCCTCGACTTCAAGACTTCCTGCGAGAACATCTCTCACAATGAGTTGCGGGCTGAGGCGGCCCACTCGGGCTTCCCCGACACCTGTTTGCATGCGCTTTGCTGTGCGTACAGGGCGCGGAGGAGGGCGATCCTCCAGGGGTACATCAGCAGGCCTCTTAAATTATGCGGCTCCCATCGTACTGAAGGACCACATCCCAAACATACTTTCGAGCCCCCAGAAAATCGAAACGGTGCCGCAAGAGTGCCACCTTTCAGGGCGAGACACGTGAAAACCCTCCAGTTTCGGATTTTCCCTCGTGCTCGAAACTCCTTCTGGTGATCAAAGCTAAAGTAGGGTGGTACATCACAACTCTTGAGGCCAACGGGACGGTGATCGCGGGGTGGTCGTGCGCCACATTTCTCGCAACATTGATGTTGGTGGCCTTTAGAACGTCGTAGACGATGTCGTTCCATGCAGTAGGAGGCCTCGGGACTGTAACCAAAGAGACATGCATGTGTCGGAACAACCGAGGCCTCGATCTGTCGCATGGGAACTCATTCCCCCAATATAGCAGCAGGTAAACCGTTGCAGCAGGGTGTCCGCGGTGGGGCCCAAAATTGCAGCCCGACCCGGATGGCCCCGCTTCCTTTTTCTGCCCCTGCCTTCTCAACCGCAAGCAACCACCAACGGCCTGTCCCTTCCCACCTCCTTATCCCGCTCATCCCCCCAACCGCAAGCGGGCCCGCCTCACTACTGTCCGCCTGTCCCCTGTGTCTGGGACACGCCATGTGTGGCGGTGCCCGCGCCCCAAATACTTAGGAAGTGAAGCGGGAGGGCGATGAAGAACACAACGACATGAAGAGGAAGGGGGGCGCAAAGAAAACTGCACCTCGGTGTCTCCCCCGACCTCCGGGGCAGGAGCGCCAGATCTGCACAGAACGCATCGTCGATGTGGCGATTTCTGGCCGTCCAGCAGAGCATTTCCGCTGCATTCCCCCGCCTACCTCCTGTCCTTACCTCCTTACTCCCATTATATTCCCTTTCCCGTCACTCCTCTCCCCCTTCTCCCCCTTCTCTTTGCGTCCCATCCCCCAGCCCCGTCCACTCCGCTGGCGAAGCCTGCCGACGTTCAGGCCTCGAAAAAGGCCAACGTCTCACACCGAAGAGCCCTACGTCGTCTCCTAGGGGCCCTGCTGGTCCATCGTGGGGGCACTGAAATATATAGACAACCTCCCCCATTGCTGTGGTCCCTGGACCACGTTCGGATTCAGGCTAGCGGCTAGGTGCCCCCACGTCGCCAAGGTAGGCGGTCTGGCGCAGAGGGATAACTCCTGTCCGCCCCCTGACACCGGGCGCGCGCCATGTCCCGCCGCCGCCGCTGAGAGGCGTTGCGGGCGATGCGGTGCCGCCTGTGCTTGGCCCAGGGAGCGGAGGGCCAGGCCGAGCCGGGTGGGGAGGTATGCCGCGAGCACCGGGCGTTGCAGGCCCTGCAGCTCGCCGCAGCTGCTGACGGGGGTCCAGCGGCTGCTGCCCCACCGGGCGAGGGTGCGCCCCTGCAGAGTGTTGGGTCTGGCGGAGGAGGAGGTGGGCGCGGGCCGCTGCAGAGAGCTCCAGGGGACGTGCCGAACGGGTTCGGCCCTCAGCGGGGGCCACGCCCTGCGCGAGGGGAGCCCTACGGCGAGGCAGACCCCGTGCAAGTGCGGAATACCTTCATCGACGTCGCCGACGATCGGCGCCCGCGGAGGCAGCTGCGGCGTAACCTTCCAGTTGGAGACAAGCCGCACATCGTGGCGGGCGCCGACAGTGAAGGCGACGGCGTCGTCGCCGGCGCCGACGCCGCAGGGCTGGACCTGCGCCTCGAGGAGATGCAGCTTGTCACCGACAACCTCATGGAGCAGGACGCGGGGATCCCACTCCCAGAGCAGCGGCGAGCGCCTGCACGGGTCGAGGGCCCGCCACCGCCGCCGCCGCCTGCGGCCAGTGCCGGCGGGCCGGCGCGCCTTCGGGTCCGGGCGAGGCAGCCGCCTCAGGGGCGGGCAGCCGCGCAAGGGCTCCCGGTGACAACGCGGCTGGTGGCCCGCCGCGCCCGCCTCTGGCTGCTCCCGCGGCACCGGAGGCAGAGCCTCCGCCCGGGCCGTTTGCTGGTGGAGAATGCGCCTGCCCCTGGTGCGCCGACGCCCGCTTCAACACCGCCGCAGGTTTCATGAGGCACGTCACGACCTGCCACGAGGGCACGTCCATCGACCAGCCCATGCTCACCGTCCTTCGCGGCCTCGAGCGGGCTGTGTGCATCGGCCCGGGGTGCGGATGCATTCGCCGCGTAGGCACTCGGCAGTGCCACCGGTGTGCAGGCTCGCACGCCGCGCGGCCCCTGGCGATCGGAGACATCGTCCCCGGGGGGCGGGGGGTGCCGCTCAGAGCTGCCCAGGCCGCCGTGCAACCTCCTCCATCGGCCGAGCCCACTGCCGATAATATCGGTGATGTGCTCCTGCCGGAGGGCTTCACCCAACGCGTCAGGAGGACACCACCGTCCACCTTGGTGCACTGCCCGGTCGCTTGCCGCGAGCGGGCCGCCGCTATCACAGAGGAGTGCTGGGCTGGCACGGCGGCGGGCAAGCCCGGCTGGTCTGCTTTGGAGGAGGGCCGGTCCAAGCTCCTCCTGGCTGCCATCCCCCAGGGCACTCACATCAATGGGGAGATCGCCCATCGCATCGAACTATTCCGGACGCGTTCCTTCGGCGATTTGCTCAACCGCGTGGAGATGCAGGTTGCGAGTGCACGTGGAGGTGGGCCCCGCCGGAGGCGCGGGACGCCGGGCGAGGAGGCCCAAGACAGGAGAAAAGCACAGGCCATTAGGCAGGCAGCGGAGGGCGCCTACTGGAAGGCGGTGGGCACCATGACCAGCAACGTCGCCGACCTCAGCGCTGACAGCAACATGCATTGGGCTCGCGAGCTGCACCCGCCTGCGCGGGACCGTGCTTCCGCGCCGGCCGCCCCCAGCCCGCAGGGGGGTGGACAGGCGCTGCAGGCAGCGCCCGACGGCGAGCCTGGCCACCCGCTCCGGGACGTCCGGTTCGCTGCGCTAAAGGCCCCGGGGCCTTCAGGCTTACGCCCTGAGCATATCGCCGAGCTGCTCGGCGTTCGGAGGAGGCGGTTGGCGAATAAGCTGCTCGGCACGCTAGGCCGCCTGCTTGACGCCATCGCGGGCGGACGCCTTTGCGAGGAGGCGCGCTGGATCACCCGATCCCGATCCATCTTCATAGAGAAGAAGGCTCCGCCTGGCCAGGCCCAGCCTCCGAGGCCGCACGGGCACGCGCCGCGCCCGTTGAAGGTTGGCGAGGCCTTGCGTGCCGCTGCTGCGAAACGCACGCTGCGGGACTGCGAGCGTCGTCTCCGGCCTAAGCTCCTGGAGATGAGGCAATGGGGAGTGGCCATCCCAGGTGGTGCCGAGGCGCTATGTCACTGGCGCTCCACGGTGGAGGAGGCCGCCCGGGCGGGCGTTATCGAGCCCATCGTGGCGGCAAACCTCGACATGCAGAATTTCTTCAACAGCGTCGAGTGGCCGGCGATTCGGGAATCGATCGCCGAGCATTTCCAGGAGGCGGAGGCGACGGTCAACTGGGAGCAGCAACAGGTCGGCACCTCCGTCCTACCTGATGGTGCGGAGTTCCACTTTGACCGAGGCGCGGAGCAGGGGGAGCCCCTCGGGCCCATCAAGGCCACGCTCCCGCTTGGCGACGCGAGGTGCCGCACAGACGTGGAGTTCGCAGCGTCTCACGGGCGCGGGGTGTGCGAAGAGTGGTTCGTGGACGACGGCCAGTTGTTCTGCAGCCCGCGCCTGCTCGACCCGTGGCTCCGTCTTTCGACGAGAGGATCGCGCGCCTCGGGGCGTCGCGCGGGCGCGGCGAGAACGTGAAGAGCGTGGTTCGCCTCATCTGCCGCCCGGGCCAGGAGGATTCGACGCAGGGTTGGGTGACAGATTACGTCAGGAACACGTGCCGCGTGGCGGACCCGAACAGCGCCACAGTCACGTTGGGCGTCACCTTCGGCACCGACGACGAGATCCAGAACGGCGCCCAGACGCCGTGCGAGAAAGTCGCCGCGGCCAGGCAAGCCATCTCCGAGATCGACCACGTAGGCACAGAGTTGGTCTTGACGAGGAGGTGCGCTGACGTTTCGAAGTTGTCCTATGCTCTACGGTGTGTCGGTGACGAGGTACATGGCGCACCAGCGGCAGCCTTCGACAGAGACCTCCGGAGCGCTGTCGAGGACGCACTGGGTGGGTCTCTGCCCGACGCGGCGTGGTGGCAGGCCTCCGCAGGGGTGGCGCATGGCGGCCTTGGTTTCCGGACGGCCCGCGAGGTCGCGCTGCCATCGTTCATCGGCAGCCGAGTGGCAGCGCGCCCGCTAGTACGGGTCATGTTCGGCCACTTGGAAGAGGCTGCCCTCGGGCGCGCAGCGGACCTCCTGCGGCTGTACGACGCGCGCACGCAGGCTGCGATCAACGCCTTCCTCGCCACGATGCCGCCGGAGTGCGCGGACGAGATCCGGGACCACGTGCGGGACGGGTTCGAGAGCGCCGCCCTGACGTGGCAGCGGCTGCAGGACGGGGGGATGCCTCCCAGCGGGCGGATGATGGGTCCGAGCCCCGCGCAGACGCCATGCGAGCAATGGCGTCTCCCGCGGCCGGCCTGCTGCCCGACGCGGGCGCCGAGGACGACGAGCACCCCGATGCGCGGGGGGCTGCGCGCGGCCCCCGGGTGCAGAGACTGCTTACCGCAGTTGTTGACAGGTGCGTCGCCGCGGGCGTGAAACAGTACTACGAGGATGCGGAGGGCGGCTCCAGCCACGTGCGCCGCCTCGAGGACCTGGCCCACCCCGACGTGGACCATGCGTGGCTGTGGTGCCTCTCCCACGCGCACGGGCGGGTGTTAGACAACGACGAGTTCGCGGAGGCCGGGCGGGTCCGCCTCGGAGCTGGGGGGCCAACGGATGCAGGCGTATGCGGTGCTTGCGGGCAGGTGGTGCTTGATTCCGGTGGCAGCCACGCTTCCTGCTGCGCTGTGGGCGAGGCCACTCGAGGCCACAACGCCGTGCGTGACCTGCTCTACGACTTCTCCTTGACAGCTGACGACACCACTGAGAAGGAGCCTCAGGGGTTGATCCTTTCCCGTCCAGCGCTTCGCCCCGCTGATGTGCTGTCTCCCGCGGTCCTGTCGGGCCGCGCGGCGGCGCTGGACGTAGAAATCACTTCCGTGGAGGCCGCGAGTGGCGGAGACGCTGCCGAAGCGATGCGCCAGCGAAAAACAAGGGAACGAGAGCCTTTCGCGGACGAGCTGGCGTCTCAGAACATCGTCTACATGCCAGTGGTATGGACGAACTTCGGCCGCCCGCACCCAGGCGCGCTCACCGCGATCCGCGCGATCGCGAGGCGGGTCGCTGCGCCAGTTCTTACGCAACCTGGGCGCTGAGATCGCCAGGCGCGCGGCGCGCATGAGCCTGGCATGCTGGCCCGTGGCCGAGGAGGCGCCTGCTGGCGAGGGGGGCAGGCCTCCCGGGCTCTAGCCCGGCGCCGCTGTGCGCGCCGCCCGCCGGCGCCCAGGGCATCCTGAAGTAACAGTGGCGCCCGGTCGTTTGCTGCCCTGCGGGCTCCTCCCCCGCCGTTCCCCTCCTCCTCCTCCTCCTCCTCCTCCTCCTCCTCCTCCTCCTCCTCCTCCTCCTCCTCCCCGTCTTCCCCGTGTCCTCGTTTTCAAGCGCGGGCGCGCGCGCCTAACGGCGGGGCCGGGTGGTTCACACCCCGCGGCCGCGCCCTCGCCCAGTGAGGTTTCGCCGCGCGTTGTGCGCAGCGGTCAGTTCCCTCCTTGTCCCCCCTCGTCCCTTCCTCGTACTCCTTCTCCTCTGCCTGTGTTTTCCTTGTTTCCCCGGCGAATTCGGCCAATCGGAATGCCATTTCTGGGTCGCACTGCGGATGCATCGATCCGATTTTGTTCGGTACCGGCCCTTGCGTGTATTTTCGGGCGTACCGGCCTATATCCATCGAGCTTGGCGCCGCCGCTGTTCGTCCTCCCTCTCCTCCTCCTCCTCCTCCTCCTCCTCCTCCTCCTCCTTTCGCCCTCTGCCTCTGCGCCTCAAGGTCCTTGATTTCTCTCCGCTCGAGTGGTGAAAGCCAGTGGCGGCTCGCGCCGCCTTCGCGTGCCTGCGCCATGTGCGCATGCTGTGCCAGTGGAGTTCTTTAGGGCCGCAGGGGTAGCCGCAAAAAAAGAGAGGGATAACTCAGGGTGGCCAAAGCCTTGACATGTCAGAAAAAAACCACTGGGTGCATGTGGGGATCGCCCACCCACTCTGGGGCAATTTCTCCTCGCCCCCCTGAAGGGGCTGCGCCACTTTGGGATGCAATTCCTGTGGTTTCGGAGTGAGGCGAGGCTGATAGACAGGGTGTTCCCCTGGCTATCAACCCCAAGCAACAGGCTATGATAAGGGGTTGTCCCCCAGCGAAGGGTGCCCTCTTAGGAAAGAGTGCGTTCTGTGATCGCTTGACAGGGGGGGGAACCCGATCCCCCCCCCATGGATGGAAGGGGGGAACGGGGGTTCGAACCCCTCCCCCCTCTCCCGTGACAGAGGGGTGGGGGTTCGAACCCCCCCCCTCCCTTCACGCCCTACTTCTCCTTTCTCCCTCTCCTCGAGCTGGCGCCTGCGTCGGCGGCGGCTGGCGGCGGTGGCGGGGACGACGATTTCCTTTTCTGGGCCGGCGCCGGCGCCTGCGGCGGCAGGCGGCGACGGCGGGGAGCGTCGACGAGGACGACAGTGGTGGTGGTGGTGGTGGTGGTGGTGGTGGTGGTGGTGCTGGTGGTGGTGGTGGTGGGTTGTGGTGGTGGTGGCGGTGGTGGTTGTGGTGGCGGTGGTGGTGTGGTGGTTTGTTGTGGTGGTGGAGGTTGTGGTGGTGGGTGGTGGTGGTGGTTTGGTGGCGGTTAGTGGTGGTTTGTTGTGGTGGCGGTGGTGGTGGTGGGTTTTGGTAGTGGTGGTGGGTTCGTGGTGGTTTGTGGTGGTGGTTTATAATGCTGGTGGTGGTGGCGGTTGTGGTGGTGACGGTGGTTTGTGGAGGTGGTGCTGGTGGTTGTAGTTGTGGCGGTGGTGGTGGTCGTGGTGGTGCGGCGGTGGTTTGTGGTGGTGGTGGTGCAGGTGGGTTGTGCTGCTGGTAGTGGTGGTTGTGCTGGTAATGGTGGTGGTGGTGGTAGATTGTGATGGGGGTGGTGGGTATGTGTGGCGGAGATGATGATGGTGAGTTGTGGTGGTGGTGGTTGTGGTGGTGGTGGTGGCTGTGGTGGTGGTGGTTGTGTGGTGGGTTGTTGGTGGTGGTGGTGGGTTGAGGCGGTGGTGGTGGTGGTGGTGGTAGTGGTGGTAATCGTCGCTGCGTCCCCGCCGTCGCTGGCGCCAAGGGGGAAGGTTTGAACCCCCCCCCCTGGGCTGCCTCTGGTCATCGTCGCTGCGTCCCCGCCGTCGTCGGCGCTGCTGGCGGCCGCCAGCGCCGGCGCCGAGGGGGAGGGGGGGTTTGAACGCCCCCCGCCCTTGGGAGGAGGGGGGGGGGGGTCGGGAGGGGGGGGGTTGGGGGGGAGGGGAGTCCCCCTGGGTTTGATCGACGGCGCCGAGTGTTGGGGGGGGGGGGCCCCCCCGGTTCGAAACGCGCCGCCGAAAATTCCCAAGGCAAGCGCCCGTGAAACGCGCTCTCTCCCTCCTAGTTGACAGTGCCCATGTCAACCCAGAACAACTGCCAGATGGCAGCCCGCTCGTAGACCTGGGGCCGGCACGGCAACGGAAAGAGCGCCTCAAGAACTTGCCCGAGAGGGCTCACGGCACCCTTCGCTCTTGGGAGCCTTGGTGGTAAGAGCTGACTTGTTACATCACCGCTCGCTCTTGGGAGCCTTGGTGTGCCGAGACTTTTACGTTGCCATTCGCTCTTGATAACCTTGACCTTGGTGTTGAGAGTTGTTTACGTCACCGTTCGCTCTTGGGAGTCTTGGTGTGCACGAGTTTGTCACGTCACCGTTCGCTCTTGGGAGTCTTGGTGTGTACGAGTTTGTCACGTCACTGTTCTCTTGGTGGCCTTGGTGGGAAGAGCTTGTTACGTCACCACTCTCTGTTGGGGGCCCTGGTGTTCAGAGAAGTTTACGCTGCCGCTCGCTCTTGGGAGCCTTGGTATGACGAGCTTGTTACGTCTCCTCCTCCTCCTCCTCCTGACTCATCCTCCTCCTCCTCCTCCTGCTCCTCCTCCTCCCTCCCTCCTCCTCCTCCGCCTCCTCCTACTCCTCTTTCTCCTCCTCCTCCCTTGGCCTCCTCGTCCTCGTTCCTCCTCCTCCTTCTCCTCCTCCTCCTTCTCATCCTCCTCTTCCTCTTCCTGCTCATCCTCCTCTTCCTGGGCCGATCTTTGGGGCCACTTGGGCCGTCGGGGCCGTTTTGGGACTGAAAAGGGGAGAACCCGAAAAACATGCAAATCAATGCTTTTGGCCTCCTGAGGCCTTCTCGGGGGCCCTTTTGAGGGACTCTGGACCGTCTGGAGGCCATCTGAACCATCTGGGGGCCATCTTGGACCGTCTTCGGCCCCTTTGGGGGGTCTCTGGGGCCGTCTTGAGACGATCTTTGGGGCCTCTTGGGCCGTCTTGGGGGCCCTCTTGGACCGTCGTGGGCCCCTTTGGGGCGCCGCTGGAGCCGTCTTGAGACGATATTTGGGGCCTTTTGTGCCGTCTGGGGCCCCTTGGGACTGAACAGGGGAGAACCCGAAAAACATGCAAAAACCGTAAAGACATCAATGTTATTGGCCTCCTGAGACCCTCTCGGGGGCCCTCGTGACGGCCTCTGCAGCTGTCTCGAGACCCTCTGGGACCGTCTGGAGGCTATCTGAAGCTCTCTTGGGGCCGTCTTGGGGCCCTTTGATGCCGTTTTGGCACCCTCTTGGGCCGTCTTGGGGCCCTCTGGCCGGTTCACCCGAAAAAAATGAAGAAACAATCCATGAGAGCCGCCCAGGGGCCGATTCACTAGAAAAAACAAAGGAAACGGGCCATTACATCCAATCGACCCCGCCTGGCCTCTCCTCTGCACTCCTCCCTAGAAGGCTTCGCCCCAACTCAAAGTACATGACTCGTATCTCGCTCTTTCCGTCACCTGGGCCGGCACGGGAACGGAAAGAGTGGACCAGGATATTGCCCGAGATGGCTCACGGCACCCTTCGCTCTTGGGAGCCTTGGTGGTAAGAGCTTGTTGCGTCACCACTCTCTGTTGGAAGCTCGGATGTTCAATGACTTTTACGTTGTTGCTCGCTCTGGGGAGCCTTGGTGTTGAGAGTTGTTTACGTCACCGCGCCATGGGGAGCCTGTGTGTTCAGAGCTTGTTGCGTCACCGCTCGATGTGGGGAACCATGGTGTTCCTTAGCGTCTCTGGGGTTTCTTGGGGACCTTGCCTGCCATGGACGGAAAGCGCGTGAAAGGACAGAGCTGCGCAAGAACGTGCAGCATCATCACGATAAAATGTAATGTGGGCGAGCTCTCCCGAACGTCCACAAGGAGAGTCCGGATTATCCTCCTCATTTCTCTGTACGCCTCAAATGTCGTCCGTCTATCCCTCATTTATCTGATGTGTTCGAAGGCCCGTCCGAAGGCACACACACGCACACACACAGGAGGAAGAGGCTCTGGTACGTTTTAGAAAACCTCCTCAAAAGCATTTGCAAGGAACATGTCTCGAGCGAAACGCTTACTTATCTTATGTGTTCGAGTAGGAGGGGGCGAAGGAGATGGAGGAACGTGAGGAGCAGACGGCCCTCACGACTGCCCAACAGAGCCTCACAATACGATCATACACAATGACTTAATGCAGAAGAAGTATCATATACAAGAACCATCGTACACGAGGAATATCATATACAACGAATGCCATATTCAAACAATATCATCTACAACTAAGGGGCCGCCCACCCGCCGTCTCGCATATAGGCGACTGCGCCGCCCCTACTCCCGGGGGTCCCTGGGCGGCTAGCGTATCTCTGGGATTGTCCAGGGCTTCAATGACGGCCCAGGAAGCCCACCCAGCCCAGGCCACCAAAATAGCCCAGGATCGCTCCAAGGCGGCCCAAGATGGCCTCCAGACGGCCCAAAAGGCCTCCAACACGCCCCAAGAGGCCTCCAAGAGCCCTGCCAAGAGACACCATACACAAGGAATGTCATAGACAAGGGCGATCATATACAAAAACTTAATATAGACGCAGTACCATATACAAGGACCACCAGTATCACATACAAGGACCAAGTATCATATACAATGCTATCCAAGAACACCCCGAACATATGTCTCATAGCAGCTCTTTCGACATTCCATTTCTCCAAGGATGTCTCAGGCGAAACGGCCGTTTTTGAAGTTCCGAAAATTAGGCCAGCGATTTCAATATCCAGATGTTTTGAGGATACCTCTGGCGAAACGTTCATTTTTAACATAAGACGTCTAAAGACACGACCCCCCACTTCACGATTTGGCCAGGACGTCTCAGGCGACAAGCTCTTTCTGGCCCGCTCGAAGACATTTTGTAACCGATGTCTCGAGTGAAACGCTGATTTTCCAACGAAAATGTTA